ACATAAAACATAATAACTGTAACATATACAATATGATAACAGAACATACAGAGCATAACACTAACATATACAAGATGGTAACAGTAAAATATAGAACTAAACTGACATCACAAAATGATTTTTGAATTATCTTTCATTTTGGTTTTAGCACTTGCAGATGTACAAACACATTTGTGTGGTTGATTTCACTAAAGCAATAATAACAAACATGGCCATATTCAGGATAAATGTGGCCCCTGTGAAGTCATTTATTTGCAGCCCCCAAACTTTGCCGCCCTGTACAGCTGCATATGCCTAAACACAGCCCTGATGACAACGATGACGATGATGAAAGTAATTACAGTAATAAAAAATGAACTTAATATTTTAACCCATGTAAATGTGAAAATAATAATAAAAACAATAATTACTTATATTAATATTAATAACAGCAATACAAAACAATACCATGTTATTATTTTAATTTATAATTAGGAATTAATAACACCAATAATAATACTAATAATGAAAGAGCAATATACAGAATAGCATTAATTTAACATATTGAAGGTAAAATGAGAATAAACACATTAAAATAATGTGGATTATTTGTAATAATGGGACGACAATTTCAGTATCACAAAACATAACAGTAATAATCAGAATAACACTTATTACAATTTTTAAAGTTTTCTGAATACTTAAATTTGCAAGAAGAGAAATAAATAAACACATAATTTACAGAAAATGATAAATTTATGGAAGCCAAAGAAAATTAAAACTAGCACCAAAAAAAAAAAAAATTTAGATCAGTTTCATTTATGTGCCAGGCTGTGCAGGTGTACAAGGAAATGAATAGGCTGATAGGTTTGCAGGTGAGGCTGTGGTGGAGGGTGGATGAGCCATGGATGAGCCTGCTATACTGAATGCTCTATGAGAAGTAAGACGTTTGCGAAAACCATGATTAGACTGCAAGAACAATAAGTTAACTTGAGTGTGGCCATACAAGAGCACTAATGCAGAAAGCCAAAGATGAAGAATTAACCCACACAAAACTGGTATCGTCAGTCGCTACATTATGTGGGATTTTCTGAGGAGGGTATCTGAGCCTTTATGTACCTAATAGTTCGATGTGTAATAAGGATGATCTGTCGATAACAAACTATCTAACTTAAGATTTTTAGTTCTAATGACATTTCAGTACTGCAGTACGGAACCAAACCATTGGGAACATAAATAATTACTGATAAAGACAAACATAAATTATTGGTACCTGTGCATAATAAAGAGAATTAACCTGTCTGGTAGAATCATAATGTGGAGATAACAGAGAGAATTAAACAAAATCTAGTGAATCAAGAGGTGAGGATAAGATGCTTGTTTGGAGTAGTAAAAATTTTAGGAAAAATCTGGTAGTATAACTAACTAGATCTTCACCGGAACCCACATCTGTACTTCTGTGTGGAGCAAAAGAACTAAAATATTCTCAAATAAACTAAACTCATTTATTAACTGCAGCCTTTACAGAACAAAGGGAAATAAATGATATGATCTTCCCATGTGGGCTCTGGAGCTGTATATCTGTGGAGACAAGTAACAGACCTACTGATTTCCCAACAAGCATGCTGTTAAAGGTGACTTATTTGAGGTATGCTGAAATGATACAGAAGATTAGAAGGAAGGAATCATGAGATCTCTAACATGGAGCTTCAAGAGAGAACTTAACAAATGTCATTAATTAAAAAGTAATTAAAGGGTGATGATGTTGGGTAAGACACACACTGAGAAAACATGAATATTATTTGAATATCCTAGCTTTGGGCCACAGAGTCGACAAAATAAAGCATAATAAAAGACAAACCCACTCAGAGAAGGATTTATATATGAGGTGAAAAGAAGATTTGGATCGATCAAATGAATTATTTGTCCCCTCTAGGATCCATCTTAAAGGTTTACCACAGCATCCACAGATTTAAACAATCTCAGTCTGGACGGCAGAACCAAGCTAATCTCAGATACCCTGTTCAACCTCCAAATGCTATTGCCCACATCAGAAAGAGACAATCTACATTTTTTGGTCAGGTAATGAGAAGGGGAAAACCGGAGTACATTATGTCAGTATGAAAGTTAGAGTGGAAGAGAGGCAGAGGGAGACTAAGGTAGAAGAGGCTGGACAGTTTGACATCATGGCATAGAGGATCATCTTTATCAGAGCTGAGTGAAAGTACAAGAGACAGAAGGTTGTTGATTGACATGACTACGAAAGCCACACGGCATAGACTCAAAGAAGAAGAAGGACACCTAGCATGGCTACAGCAGCCCAGTGTAACATGCAGTCCTGTGCTGTGAGGACGAAGATTGGGACAATATGGCCGGATTTATATGACAGTCAAGAATAGGATGACTTGGTACGAGTTGGCTGAGGTCAAATGGGGGGATAAGAAGTAAAGAAAAAAAAACAAAAACTTCAGTAACAATAAAAAAAAAAAAAATGGTTACGCTGTGATCTGTTATAAATGTAGCAAGTGTGGCCGCGGATTGTATTAAAATTGTTTCCATTGGTTCATGTTCTGGGACTTAGCAGCAAATAAGGGGAAACGACTGTGAGAATGCCTATAATTCGCAAAAAATCATATTAAATGATATACCTTGTTTTAGGATGCAGATATTAAAGTTAAACATTTATTTAGAAAGTACAAATATACCTCCGCCAAGTCTCTGGCAACCTCACTGTGATTGCAGCTTGAAGGTTTGACCTGCAGTAACTCACGAAAACATTATGTGGTGTGAATCAAACAGGAGTAAGGTCCCAGAAAGACTGTTCAGCCATTTAAAACAGTTATATTAGGAAGGAAAAAAAAAAACAGAACAAATTTGTCAGAAATATTTTGGGACTGACCAACATTAACCTTTTCTGTCTCAGACTTTTGTAACTTTACATTTTATATACATTAGTTATCCCTTCAATACAATAAATATTCTTCTTACAAAGGATGGTTAATCACTGCTGAACACACAGTAAAAAGGTAAAGTTGGGAGATGTGAACCAGCGTTATTACACTCGGTTATAAACCATAAGTGCTCTGCCACCAGTAGGGACAGCTGATAAGAAAGTGTCCGCCTGTGTCGCCGTCCGCACGTAACTCCGTAGCTACAGCGATGTTCCTCCATTCACCCCAGAGTGTCAGCTCTGGTACCCATTTCCTAGAGGCCGGGTGAACCCTGGGAACTGCCCGGTTTCGAACACCGACTGTGGCTACAGCGAGTCGCAGCTGGACTTGAAAGAGTGCCTCCTATTGACTGCGCTAACACGGCTCCCTAACAACAACATACAGTGTACAGAAGCAACTAAAATTGGTTTGGATAATATAACAATTGGAAGGGATTATATAAGAAGACTATGTAATAAAAGCAGTTACCAATCAACATCATGTAGTTGTTTGTATGGTTGCCATAAGTCCTCATTTGTGCGGACATGTTCTTATTTCAGAAGTAAATCTGAGTGTTTGTAAACAATTTTAATCAGTTGTTGATTTGTCCAGTTTTACAAGCCAAGATAAAATTAACACTATGTGATAAATTGACAACTGTAGGAATAGTGAAATGTACTCTGAAATCAGGAAGATTGCACAGTCCTTTTTTTGCTATTCCATCACACAATGCTTCAGTAGAAAGACTATTTTCTTTAATCAATACTCAATGCTTCAGTGGAATAAAAAATCATCTCAATGGGGATTCAGTCAAGTCAACTTCAATTGTAAAATTTAATTTCAAACAATTCACATGCAGGCAATATTATGGACTCATCTCTCCATAACACTACACGTCATTGGGTTGTCAGTTGCTGTTGACTGCCTGATCAGCTCTCTCCACTTTTGATGGTCAGGTGTGATAGACTTCATAAGTTGCATCCTAAGGCCTGTCCAGTCAGTCAAGTTCTGTAACCAGGTCTTTTTTGGTCTATCTCTTCTTTTCTTTCCCTCTGCTGAGCCCTGTAGTATTATTTCTGAATGGCAGTTGGATCTTATTACATGTCCATACCATTGCATTTTCCATATCTTCACTGTAGTTAAAAGAGCTTCATAGTTGCCAATGTGCTGGGTAATTAATTTTATGGACATCTGATGCAAAAGAAAGACATTCTAAAAAATATCAGGTCATCCTAAAAACATAACAGAACAGTTTGAATGGAAATTAATGTTAAGAGAAGTGTCCTCATTTCAGCAGATCAAAATATGGCAACCCTAGTTGTTTGGTACCAAAAGAGTTATTAAAACAATGGCAAAGTGTCTTCTCCCACCCCCCTCACCCCACACACACACTTTCAGATACTTGCTGTTGGCCTGCTGAAATGTTTGTGGTATGTGTAAATTTGTCTGTGCTTGTCGTTTCACCAGATAATCTTATCATATCGTTTTGTTTCCTTTTTAAGTTCCTTTTTTTCTGTATATCTCCAGAGGTCAATTGAAATTGATTTAAGGAAACCAACAGTCAATCTGGCTTCGGAGCTAATAATGGCTGGTGGTTTCAGAGTTGACAATGTTACCCAAATTCAGAGATGACAATGTCACATGGTTTCAGAGTTGACAATGTTACCCAACTTCAGAGATGACAATGTTGTCTTGATTTAGAGATGACAATGTGGCCTGACTTCAGAGATGACATCACCTGACCAGAGATGAAAATGTTGCCTGGATTCAGAGATGACAGTGCCACTTGACTTCAGATAGGACCCTCTCACCTGGCATTAGCGATGACAATGTGGCATGGTGTTAGAGATGACAAGATCACCTGGTTTAGAGATGACAAGATCACCTGGCTTCAGAGATGACCATGTCACCTGACTTCAGGGATGACAAAAGTGGAACTTCATAAATGACAATGTGGTTAGTGTTTCACTTTCAGTTACTGCCATTTGACTTCAGAGGTGATGATGCCATTTGATTTTAGGGATGACAATGCCATTTGACTTCAAAGATTTCAAAACATCTGAATTCAATGATAATAGTGTGGATGACCTTTCATTGCCAATCAACTCCAGGTCTTTTCCTCTCAAGCAGATAAGTCTTCATATTCCCTTTTCCTTTCACTGCAATAATATCTCTAAAGGAGAATTCAAAAACATCCCCAAGTAATTCGGCAGTAGCCTCCGGAACTTGAATTCTGTTGTCTTCACCTGTTGAGTACATACGACTGGCAATATTCACAGCGTCACCCCAAATGTCATACAACAGTTTTGTGGTGCCAATGACACCTGCGGTCACTGGTCCGTAGTTGTAGCCAATTTTGAGGATGAAGTTGAAGTTGAAAATGCTCTCATTAAATCGAGCAACAACCTCCTGAATCTTCATGGCAAACTCCATCAGGGCATAGAGATGGGCATAAGGATGTTTGTTCTGGGCACGGCTTTCCTCATTTAATCCAGCCGCTGCCATGAAAGAGGAGCTGATGGTTTTAATTTTCTCAACATCTTTGAAGCGAACATCACTTAGGAGTTCCTCATAGTCACTAATCAGTTCATTCAAGACTCGAAGGTATTCACGTCCACCGGCGTACATTTCATCATAGAATTCATTAAAGTTCACAATCGTAGCAAAGATAACCCCCACATCTTGATGATTACGGGAATAACTCCGATTTGTCTTGAAGACTTCAGCCAAATGGGCAGGTATGATGTTGTGAAGAAGCCACTCGGCCTGGTCTTTGTTCAGCTGCATGTTCTCTCTGTCCCGCTGGGCTTTCACGCTGGCATTGAAACTAAGACGGTAGGAATTCTCAAACTCGTAGTTAATGATACAGATGAGGAATAAGAGAAGAAGGGTGCTAAGAATGAGCTCAAATCTCAGCATGTTTTCCCCAGAGAAAAGGTGCTCTGGTATAGGACGATGTGTGGGCTGGGGGAGGATAACTGTTGGAACACTACTACTGTTGGAAGAGTTGAAGGCCTGCTCCGGAGCATCAGTCCAAGGAAATGTGCAAGGATGCAGAAACAGCAGGATGATCAGAATGGACCCGACAAGAATTGCCATGATCGTTTTGGCAAAAGAACTTAACATGGTGTAGTTGCAGTACTGAAGCAGGGCGACCACGATGCTGAAGCAGAAGAAGCGGTCGTGCCAGTTATCGCTGATGGCTAGCTCACATGACAAGCTGATGTAGACGAGGAGGGCTGGGATTGTCGCCGTGAAGACTCCTAGAGCGTTGCGGGTGTACCACGAGAGCGTCACATTGAAGAGAGTAGGAAACTTTGCTTTCTTTGCCTGAAAATAGAGGGGAACAGTTTAAACATGAATATCCGAAGAAGGTTTTTAGTGTGTAAACTGTAAGCTCTAAAGTAGCGAGCAATTACTTTATTGCACCAGGTTTTTTCTGAAGTCGGCATCTGTGGTTTAGGCTTTTCAAACATGCTTAGCAATTCTGAAATACCCGGTTTGATTTTAACTGCAAGCAATTTGGCAGATGATATAGAGTGCCGACTGTTCTGGGTAATGGCAAAATACTGAATGCAAAATTGTCTAGTAAATTCACAAACACCCCAACAACAACAAAATACCGCAATAATAGTAGTAGTAGCAGCAGCAGCAGCACCACCACCACCAGCAGCAGTAGCAGTATAGTAGTGGAAGCAGCAGTAGTAATAGCAGTATTAGTAGTCATAGTGGTAGTATTAGTAATAGTAGTGGTAACACTAGCAGCAGCATCACAGCAGTAGTAGTAGATGTAGTAACAGTAGTACGAGTAGAGGTAGTAGTAGCTATATTAGTAAAAGTAGTAGGAGCTGTAGCAGTAGTAGTAAATCGTGATGCTGGTGTTAGTGATGGTAGTAGTAGTAGTTGTTCAACTAGACTTGGGGCATGGTGTGATAAGGCACTCAGGCTACACCGTTACAGCTGTGCAATATACCTTTCAGATCTAGAATATAGGTTAACTGAACTGAAGTGGGAAGAAACGTTGTATAGAAGACAGAAGCAAGATATTAAGGGAAAGAGGACGACAAACAGATGGGTAGGTAATTTATAAAAAAAAAAATGGAATGAAGATATCCGACTACACACTGCAGCTTATATATAAATCAAGTTTTTTAAAACATAACAGTACATTATCTGGTGCTTTCTTAATATCCTACCACAAACATGGGAAATCCACAGGTCTTAGGACAGTCTAATAAATCAGGGGGTGGTAGATAGGTTGCATACAGTCGTGGAACCTCGGCTGCATGCGGTCGTGGGGGCTTAGGTTGCACTCTCGTGTGGGACGAAGGTGAGTTGGAGTTAGGGCCAGTTCTACATTTTTTGGGCTCCTTAAAAGCACCAGACAGCCGGGAAACCCAGTCCTACTATCCTTTAAAATTTTGGACTGTCCTGTAACATCATCTGAGGGTAAGATATTACAAAAGAACCCATTATCGTTCTATGAAGTTATGCGTCATACAAGGCCCTGCAGTCTAGAGAGATTTTGTTCTACCCTGTGCAAATGATTTCGATATAACACATCTTAATACCAGACAGACATGGTCGGCAAACAGACAAGAACTACCCAATGAAATAACAGCAAGATTTGGTAGCATAATTATAGCTAAAACTTCATTGGAAGCGTTTGGACATGTTCATTATTTTATTTTGTTTCAAATATAAAATCGAATCATCCAGCACATTGAGCCTCTCAGTAACATTTGTTTTACGGTGTCTCCTGAACCACGACCTCCTGGAAATATTTATAGAGAAGGCGGTGCCTGAACCTCCTCGTTTTATCATTCCATTTGTTTCCTATTTCATTCATTGTTTAGTCATTATTTGTCTCTTCTTTCCTGGGACTTGACAGATGTAATGCCATCTTCACTGTCTAATAACTGTCGACACCAGGGTCTGTCGAGATATTTCTCCTGCTTCTTTATCTTTCTTAAACTCACCACATTTAATGTTCATTATTTTTCTGACGCATTTTTAGGTAAATATTGCAGCTTATATATAAATTAATTCTTCTTCTTCGACACTTAATTTTCCCAGCTTCAGGTGTCAAACGATATATAATGTTCTGCTTCTTGATTTTCTGTTCGCATTGACCATAGACACCTCGTGCCGTTAAAGGGTTTCTCTGATGTTATTTTTTATCTTGTTCTTAGTCTGTCTTGTGCTATACATTCTTCTCCTCTTTTACTGTATGCCTTGTATGGTATAGCGTCACAAGACATTCTCTCTAAGGGGGCAAACCACTTGATTTGTGGTCTTTGTATCCAATTTAAAATTGGTTCTGTGCCGACTGTTTCTCTTATGACCTCACACCTGATTCTTTTAGTAAATCACTTCTGTTCAGAATAATTTCTTAAACATGATGACAGTAATAAACACATAGAAGGACAATGACAAAACAAGGCACCTCCAGGAAAATGATGTTAGACAAGGCATCAAGAAGCACCACCAGCTCCACACACAGACCCAGCACGGTGACCACTGTCAGACCAGTGGTCGCAGCAAAGTCAAACATGACGTGGCAGCAGATGACCAGGATCAAGAAGGCAACCAGGGCGATGATGGCCTCCACTGCCGTTTGGTAGCGAGGGGATGACAACATATTCTCCTGGAACAAGTGGCTGCAAACAGGAAGAGTAAACACATGGTGTGTAGCTGATAAACTGGTGGTGGTAGTTCCTCTTATTCTACCTTTTCTTCTTCTTCTTCTTCTTCTTCTTCTTCTTCTTCTTCTTCTTCTTCTTCTTCTTCTTCTTCTTCTTCTTCTTCTTCTTCTTCTTCTTCTTCTTCTTCTTCTTCTTCTTCTTCTTCTTCTTCTTCTTCTTCTTCTTCTTTTTCTTCTTCTTCTTCTTTTCTTCTTCTTTTCTTCTTCTCATCCACTCAACTCCTTGTTGTTATTATTTTTCGTTTGCCCTTAAAATAACGGCCGATGCGTGGTTTCTTTGTTTACTTCTTGGATGTGATATCTGCGCCTTTCCGCCCTACACATACGATTTCAAAAATGTTCTGTGAATTGTCAATTTTCTGACATGCTTGCCTGGCAGGCTCTCTTTTCCACCCCAACTCCTCCCTCAAATGTGGCTCTAGAGTTGACACAGGGAAACTAGGTCTAATGTAATATTCAACATCATCACCACTATGCCGTAGTGCCATTTAAATGGCACATAGGGCCAGGCAGTATATATCTTCATTATTTTCTTTCAGCAATAATCCTTGTGATATCCTGGTTGGAATCGGGTCTAGTACTTTTGCAAAATCAGGAAATGACGATTCCAACTTCACAGCAAACGGATCTTCCCACTGGTGCTCCATGTTTGTGTCAATGGAAGTGGCGTGGGAAGGTGTCAGGGGGGAGGGGGTGGAGTGTCATCACTCAGGGGGTGACAAACTGTCAAAAATATGTGTTTTTAACATAAACAATGCGTGTAAGTGTATGTAAGTATGTATGTATATAAAAATGTGTGTGTGTGTGTGTGTGTGTTTAGTAAGTAAAAAAAAAAGGGGGGGGGGGGGGGGGGGGTTGATAGAACATTTTCCGCACCGTGTATCACCTGTCTTTGCTCTGCCATTGTAGATAAAAAAAAAAAAAAAAAACATACAAAATGTCCCTCCCGTCCCTTGTGGTCGAAAAAAGTTTTAGTAAAGCCAATAGCATACACACGTATTGAGCATATAATTGCCAACTCAAACAGTCCGATACCAGATATATAATCCATCGTCGATGGAAGCAGCAATTACAACAGATAAATTGAAGTTGCACACTAAGTTAATCGCATAAGGCACCATCAGTTCTTTGGCAACAGGCCACTAGCCATTTTTCGAATCGGAACTAGAACGAACTCAGGCCCAGCTCCGCCCATCTACACACTAGGTCACCTTTAATGCTTGGTCAGGCAGGTTCACGTTGCTCAAGATAACAGGCGCGTCTCGGTCTACTGCTGTAGACTGCACTCTTTCGTGGGACCTAGGCTAAGTGTGTGGGGGAAGTGGTTGGGGTTAGGGCCAGTTGTACATGACATGGGGTAGTTAAAGGCGCTCAGATCCTGTAATATAGAGCACGCCTGGTCGCCGGTAGAAGCGTCGACCAAGCTGACGTCTCTGCAACTTACACTTGCGCATCTCACAGGTTAAGGCGTTGACTGAACGTCCAATCACAGTGTCCTGACAGGACTCCGTCAATCATAAGTGTGTAGATGGGCGGAGCTGGGTCTGAGTTAAATACATGTACCTCCGAATCTACATTTCACAACACAAACCACAGTCGAAAGGCATTCCAAATTAAAACAGCAGCTCACAGTGTCACGCCACGCTCTCATTCAGAAGCTGGATGATGGAACCTTATTCGTACAGTCTACACATGGAGGAAAATGCAGTGGCTAACTAATGTCAGATTCAAAAACCTGCTAAGACTAAAATCAGTAAACCTGTCTATCCATCATACTGACTGAAAGTTGATCGCTGAGTCCTCCCAACATCGTTCGTGTTAAGGCTTCCATTGGGTGTTCATGTTTTCTCAGTCTATATGTTTCAAATTTAAGGGCTTGTAGTGATTCTGTGTCAACGGCTGCTCAAAATATCCTTCCTTTGTCGCCAGTTATTATTACTGAAATCAAACGTGTGTATTTAGTTTCTAAAAGTGTGAAAACAGTTTCGTATTCATGGCACCACTCAGTCAGTCAGGTGCTGTCTCCACACTGAAGACTGTCAGCAATGGATCTCCAGCTCTCTCCGTTCCTGTCTTGGTAGTACACTATCTCAGATTGCTGTTAGCCCATCTCTTGTCTTGGTAGTACACTCTCTCAGATTTCTGTTCGCCCATCTCTTATCTTGGTAGTACACTCTCTCAGACTGCTATTCGTCCATCTCTTGTCTTGGTAGTACACTCTCTCAAACAGCTATTCGCCCATCTTTTGTCTTGGTAGTACACTCTCTCAAACAGCTATTCGCCTATCTCTTGTCTTGGTAGTACACTCTCTCAAACAGCTATTCGCCCATCTTTTGTCTTGGTAGCACACTCTCACAGATTGCTGTTCGCCTATCTCTTGTCTTGGTAGTACACTCTCTCAAACTGCTGTCCGCCCATCTCTTGATGGTGTCCTTCCACTTGTAGAAACATCGACTTTTCCCTCGAGTGTAGTTTTTAAAAGCCTGTTAAATGTGGCCAAAGTATTTCAGTTTTAGTAATTCTCTTTTCATTCGCAGTCTTCCCACAAGCTCTGTATTGGACTGTTTTATTGTTTCCATGAAATGCGACCTATTCTTCTGTACATCCATATTTCCAGAGACCCAGTTCAATGTTATTCATGGCATACTGGGGTTCCTAGTTAGCTGCGGTGCTGGCAGACAGCTGTGCGTTGTCTTTGGCAACGGTATAACCATCGTACCACCTAGAAAACAATGGCGAACGCATCTGTTTTCAGTAGGTTCTGCGGCCTCAAAGTCGAATGGATTCAAATTTGCATCCAGATAGGGCATTATTATCCGGCGTAGCTTATTCAGGTCGACCAAATAGGTACCAGCAAACTTCATGGGAAGTAAAAGCGGCCGGTATGATGTCAATCACATAACTCAAGAGGTCTAAATAAATATGCCAGATGCGGTAATGGAAGGAAAAGGACTTGCTGTTGATACTTATTTAAAGTCTAGTCTTGAACTCCTGTGACCCTGACACTCACCTGTCCTTGTACTCATGTGACCCTGACACTCACCTGTCCTTGAACTCCTGTGACCCTGACACTCACCTGTCCTTGTACTCATGTGACCCTGACACTCACCTGTCCTTGAACTCCTGTGACCCTGACACTCACCTGTCCTTGAACTCCTGTGACTCTGACACTCACCTGTCCTTGTACTCATGTCTGTACATATTCTCCAGGTCACTTTCAAAGGTGAGACAGAATTTGTTGAGTCTCGGCTTGAAGAAGGCGTCGTGGTTCACATTCTCTTTGGACATCAACTGTGAAAAATCAGACATAAAGTGATTTCATTGTTGCTTGTTTGCGTTCGGGAGCCGCCGTGGTGAAGCTGCTAGAAGCTCGCTCTCGCATCGGTAGGTCGTGGGGTTCGGGTCCTCACGCAGATGGACTCTTGAAAAAAAAATAACTTTGGCTCCCAGATTGATCCAGCCTCAAATGGGTATAGCTCAGATATCGGAATAGAATACTGATTATGAGCCAGTTTTCCTGGATGTTAGATCATGCAAGATGGGCGGCTATTATTTTAAAGAGGGTTGACGTTGGACAAACCAATCCATGTCCTTAAGGTATTTCTATAGCAGTTCGGGATTTGAACAGATCATCTTTGATGTGATGGCTAACATTGCTAACCACTGCACTGTAATATGAAATGTGAGGCATAACAGTGGATGTGTGTATCCACTGTCTTTGAAAGGTTTACGTGTCGAAACCTCAAACTCTTTCACGGTGCGACTCTTGTACCGCTACTAAAAATCTATGGGAAGTCTTTCATAAACCATATGCCGTGACAAACGAACCCTGTTATGTCGAGAGATGTAAAAAGCGTTCACTAGCTTTCAAGCTGAAATTACACTTCACTGTTGTTTCCCCAACTGCCCTCATATCATGTCAAATATTTTACTGTCATGACGTCAGTAGGAGTCAAGCTAATAATAATAATAATAATAATAATAATAATGATGATGATGATAATAATAATAATAATAATAATAAGTAAATTGACGTGAACGTTTTTTTAACTAATAAGTTCCCGCAAACATTGGGAAATCCACAACCTCCGGTACAGTCCAATATTGTTGGGGTGTTAAGGCCGGGTTTTCTGTTCCGCCGCGAACTTCGCGCGTTTCTTGCAGAATGAAGCTATACACATTGAGTGATCTGTTGCACTGCTGACTATTGCAGATAGATTATCTATACAGATTGTTTGGTGTTGAGAGGGAGGAGAAGCGCCTGGGGATTCGTAGCGAAAGCCAATGGAAAATCTTTAGTGTAGGACAACATCTAGCATGAGAATGGAGGTGGAGGCGGTACTGCAGTTTTCTGATAGCTAGAGAACAAGATGTATACACATGTCGGAATTATAACAGACTCTGAAATCATGCTGAGAAAGGTGAAGAAAAGGATGCTTCGAGCAGAGTGACAAGCTTCACTGGAAAGGTCACGGGTAGTTAGCATACTTTTGATCTCTTCTCCAGGCCAAGAATAGTGGGAAATGAACATGTAGACAGATTGGCTGGATATGTACTACTGGGGTAGTGAATTGATGCATGACAAGGCAAACATGGTTAGGGTCCTGTGGGAACAAGACACGGAGTCAGAAGCGAAACAAGATTATTATGGATTGGAGAGAATGAGGCACCTGGGTGCAACTAGAGGGTCTGGCGGGCTCACTACACTCAGAGGAAAGGCAAGACGGGCATATAACCAGATCACGACCGGCACCATTGATCTCAGTAGTATACATCTGGAATGAAGTTGTCTTTTTCTCGCTGTTGTCAGCGGCCGGCGATATCGCGTGTTCTATATTCCACGATATGAGCGCTTTTAACGAGCCCAAAACATTTACAACTGGCCCTAACCCTAACCCCCTACCACACCGCCTCACCCTACGTCCCACGAGAGAGTGCAGCCAAGTCCCACGACTGCACGCAGCCTAGGTTCCATGACTGTATGCAGCCTATAATATGCACAATTTCCATGTCGTACTTGAAGTCCGAGAACGCTATAATTACCAATATTAGAAATCGATACACTAAATCTATCACCCCCTGACTATCGGGCTGTGCCGTAGCCAGGGGAATTTCTTTGTGTGTGTGTGTGTGTGTGTGTGTGTGTGTGTGTGTTGTGACTTATCATTAAAGAACTGACGTGATTGCAGTCGAGATAGTAATAATAATAATATTAATAATAATATTAAGAAGAAGGAGAAGAAGAAGGAGGAGAAGAAGAAGGAGAAGAAGAAGAAGAAGAAGGAGAAGAAGAAAAAGAAGAAGATGCCGTGACCATCGTCGCCGAGCTGCAGCAGCAAAATGATGATGATTATGTTGATGATAATGATAATAAATGGCCAATCAAAAGCTATAAACGTATAAATAAATGCGCAACACCACATACCGAAATGAGCAATCTGTCTTGGTCAGCAGTAATGGATTCGCTGCGGTTCTGTTTGAGTAGAGAGCTGTCCACTCGTGTCTCTGTCGGATAGATGGTCACGTGATAATATGATTAGGCTCACATCCAGAAATATTACACAAAGCAGATAATGACACTGGCCAGGGAGCGTAGTGGCTAGACGCTCGTTTCTGGCCCTGAAGGTTGTCGGTTTGAATCTGCATCGTCCGTTTATTTCCGTTTTTTTTTTTTTTTACAAATAAATATGGCTCTCAATATGGCTTCTTTTACCGATTCAGGTATCGAGGGAGATTCTACAAGATTTTACAAGAACTTCATGTCAAAAGAGGTGTCGCCAAACATGAGCACTATACAGGTAGCCAAAGAAGATTAGTAAACCAACACAAAGCTGGTGTTATCAGTCGCCACACGCTGGGGGATATACTGAAGAGGGGATCCGAGCGCTTACGGACTTGTCCGCTGTGCAATGAGGATATTCCTTCGATTAACTAACCAACTAACTAACTGACTAATAAGATTCAGCCTTTTGCTCTTCTGGGTGCCTCGACCACATCGTGCTGTTGTATCTCTGATGTTATCTTTCAACTTGTTCTTGGTATGCCTCGTGCTCGGTGTCCATCTTCTGTTTTAGTGTATGTTTTGGTATGTGCCTTGTAATTATGGAGTGCCAGGTGGTAAAACGCGCAGACGATCTCAAATCTGCGGAGGTTCTAAAATTGTATTTAAGATTGTTTTAAAATCTAAACATGCACCATAATCTGAAACATCTAAAATCAGTAGATGATCTACAATCTGAAGAGGATTTTAAAAACTGATGAGAATCTAAACACTCTAGTGAATCTAAAACCTAAAACCTGTGAAGAATCTAAAATTTGTAGATGATCTAGAACATTAAAAAGAGCTTTCGACTGTAGAAGATTTAACATCTGTAGAAGATATGCTATATGTAGGAGGTATACGATCTGTAGATAATCTGTTATATACGTATTTCTGGAAGATCTAAAATGCATGGACCATCTAATATCTGTAAAAGATCTTAAATCTGTGGAAGATCTGAAATCTGTAGACAATCTAATATCTGTAAAAGCTCTTGAAATCTGTGGAAGATCTTAAATCTGTAGACAATCTAATATCTGTAAAAGATATTAAATCTGTGGAAGATCCGAAATCTGTAGACAATCTAATATCTGTAAAAGATCTTAAATCTGTGGTTATCTCAAATCTGTGGATGATCTAAAATGTATGGACCATCTAATATCTGTAAAAGATCTTAAATTTGTGGAAGATCTAAACTCTGGGGACGATCTAAAAGCTGTAAAAGATCGAAAATCTGTGGAATATCCAACATCTGTGGAAGATCTAACAGTAGTAGTGATATATGCAGTAAAAGGGGCAACAACCCTGAGTGGTGCTGATTGGTGCTGCACAGTGCCGCCGCTTGCAATATCCTGCAATGCTTGGTGCTGCCTGCAATGGTTGCCTGCAGTCAGTTACCGCTTTTTTTTTTTTTTTTAGGGCGGCGTAGAGTTTGCTCAAATCTGATGTGTTGGAGAGAAAAGAACAAATATTGCATCCTAGCTGTAAATCATAACATGACGTGTCATTCGTCTTGTTAAGAGCGAACGAAGAAGATGTGTGCTAAAAAAAATTATTTCAAAATCTATCTGCCGTAAAACAATGCAAAAAATCTCACATGTGTCGGGGACAAAACCTGTTTCTTTCTAATAAATTAGGTTAAATATAGGGGCTGCATTTACTAATCGTATTATTGTTCCCAAATGACGTCCTAATTCGTTTTTCCCCCATGAGCTGCCAAATTCCTTTTCCCAAATCCCTTTTGTTGGTTGAAATTAGATGCCAGCTCCCTAATGCAAACTGGCATTTGGCAATGACTGCGGAGCTTGATGGCCAAAGTAGATGTGATTACAAAATCCGTGACTGCTCAATCATACAAGATTTGTTTACCACCCTGTCCCTCCAGATTGCAACATGAAAGACTGACAATGTAGGTTGCATATCAAAAAGTCGCACAACCAACACTAGCATTTGTTTATTGTTTGGCTGTAACAAGCGAAATCGCCCGCAGCTGTAATAGCACCAGGTACCAGGGAATTACATTATTATTACGATGATGTACTAAACAACAATTTTACACACACGCGCGCACACATACACTCATATAAACTATCAATTCTAACAATACATAATCAGAAAGGGGACGGCGGGTTACATATAATAAACTATCAATCTAACAGTACATTAGCAGAAGGGGAAAGGCGGGTTATATTTAATAAACTATTAACCTAACATTACATTAGCAGAATAGGGAAGGTTTGTTGAATAGAATAAACTATCAATCTTACATTGCATTATCAGAAGGAAGAAAGCGAGTTAAACAAAATAAACCATGACGTCACCAGTACATTATCGGAGGGAGGAAGGCGGTTAAAGAGAATAATATCAGCCAACCCAGGCATTATCAGAAAGTAAAGGCGGGTTAAACAGAGCAAAGCACCAAGTTACCAATGTATTTATCAGAAGGGAGTAATCGGGTTAAACAGAACAAAGCACCAAGTTACCAATGTGTTTATCAGAAGGGAGTAGGCGGGTTAAACAGAACAAAGCACCAAGTTACCAATGTATTTATCAGAAGGGAGTAGGCGGGTTAAACAGAATACGTCAGGTTATTTTTTCCCTGGTGGCACACAACCGTGCGCAGTACCAGCACTCTTTTTTTTTTGCATCCATATTTTTAGCACTTTGTGGTGAGTACTGTCACTCATATTTTCTAGAAGGAAAACAGGCATGGAAGGAAATATAAATCTACCCATAACCTCGCCATTAGGGAAAAAGTGGGTTAAATAGAAAAAAATTATCGATGCCAAATTTTCAGTAAACAAATTACCATTATAATTATAGGCCCTGTTCCAAGGAATAAATGTCGATATTTTTGGGTCCTTCATAAATAATGTACCAGCCAATGAAAGGCAAGCAAGCAGTGGTGAATAGCAACGTTGCAGTCATGCTAACAGACAATTTTACCAGAGACTCTATGCAACTGAGTTTGAAGGATGTCATCTAGTTTTACTTTTGTGTGTTGGAAAAAAAAAAGAACAAAATATACCTTTACCAGAGAACATTATGATTACGAAGTCAGGTTAATATGAGAATTAGGTGACAATATCACTAAAATAATTGTCATAAATCATCTTTAATGTGAAAACTAATGATAAAGACTTTGTTGTGTGTCCGGGTTGACCTCCTCCATGAGGAAAACGTCCGGCAGAGAATTTTATTTGTGATATATTCTTCTTATATTTTCTCATCCCTTTGTAGGATGCAATTTTTCGTTGTTTGAAGCCATACTCTGGCTCTTGCCAGAGGCCGCAATATAACCCGGCCATAAATATGGTCTAATGACTGAATGCAGTTTCTGAGACCTCTCCACCGGTGATCCTCATCCACATTTTGGCACTTTGTGTCATCGGGTGTTTATCGCTTACGGGATGTCCTAGTGGGGTAAAAGAAGATGGACAGATAGATTTGTGAGATAGCTCTTGCCGTTTTGGTTACATCCATGTGTTCGGGACCGATCCGGGTCCTTCTGGCCGGACCAGGTGCAGCAGAGCTACACATTGATCTTAGTCAAAAGGAGTGACAGTTGACAAAAACACTGAAATACTTGTTAAATTATCGGCAACAACATCGGAATATT